ATCAACAAACTATCTACAGAACTATCTACTATGAACAAAAGGGTCATGCCAAGATAGGCCTATTGGGTAAATCCGAGATATCATTTTAAGATCAGAATTGCTAAAATAGTGAAAGGGACATCAGAATTACCAGTAACACAAGAGAATCACAATAGAAGCAAGCATGCAAGTTAGAGCTGATGATACCATCAATGATTTTGAAGTTAAGAATCAGTCAGGAGAGTTAATACTCAGAATAAAAGAATAAAGTTCAGTATTGAAAAGGTTAAAAAAAACACAGTTGGGGTCCCTGGAGTTCTATCCCTGTGCTTCTATTTAGTTCACACTAGGTCAGGAAGCCCATGCGTTTGTGGCTGAAGATCATGCTGACTTGTCCACCAACGATGGCTGACATCATTGCACAGTGAACAAGCTACCAGCAGGTAAGTACTGTGTGTGTGTTATTGTTGTTTATTTAGTCATGCATATCTAGGCAGTTAGGACCCACTGTAATTGGAGTACTGTGGCGCAGTGGTGGGCTGCGTTCATCTTGGCCACCAATGTGGTTCCAGAATAAGGAGCTGAATTTCAAGTTGGTTTGTCATTACCAGTTACACAAATTTCAGGGACAGTTGTGTTTAAAACATATTTTCTTGGGAGCCTGACAGGCAAGCAAAGCAGACACGTTTGGCAAGCTCCTGAGCACAACCTGCCTAATCTACTTTTTACACCTGCCAACCTGCTATTTCCACCGCAAAATGCGAATTATGGTACCAAACTCGATGCTGTACTGTGCCGGGAAACTAACCTCTCACTGTTTGCGGCCTACAAGTGGGACAGGCGTCGGAGAGACGGAAGCTCTCCGGACGCCACAACCTAATCCACATCGCGGACTTCTGCTCTCTCCACTGGACTGGCATGGTCATCCCAGTTCCAGGAGAGCTCTCACTGCTACTCTCAACACTCCAGGCTGCCGTGTACAGGGGTACCATGTAGCTTCTAAAATGGCAGCAACCCCAGAGGCGATGCAGAGACCCATATTGCCACAACCCTGGCAAAACTGGATCATATCTTTCCTAAATTCTGGGCTACTTTTGAGGCAAGGAAGCAGTCTGCCCTGACAACTTGACCACAAATCTCCTACACCCCAACTTAGTCCTCCTACCTGCCCTGATCTGCATCAACCTCAAGACCACCTGGTATTCCTGTACCTAAACAGCAGATGCAAAGGTTGCACAGTGTCACTAACCCCTCAGGACCTGGAGGAACTGGAACAGAGCCTGCAGCAGTCCTGGCTCTAGCTGGATTCGGAAACCTGGGGCAGTACACCTTATGAGCCTCAAGATAGTGGCTGCTGCACCAGAAGGGAGATATGGCACTCGACAGCAGATCTCTCCTCAGTGCCCTTGCACCACTTACACTTAACCATGTGGAACCTTCCTCAGAGAGCCACACAGTCTCCTAGCAAGTTGGGCATTGGATGAAGGAGCCTGAAGCATACCCTGGCAATCCTGCCAACATAGGCTTTCTCCTAGTTTAACTACCATGCGGTGGACTCCTCCTTTTTACTTCTATTTTATTTTCCTTACTCTGTGTTTTCCTCTGATATAACAGCATAACTAATCTTTTACCTCAAGCAATGCACACCTGGAATGTTTAATTTTTATTTTCTCAATTTTCTCTAAATGCATTAATCTAACTATATCCCACTTGTTACTCCACTAAAACAAAATGTCAGTTTACACAACTTATTACTCATATCTACTAATCTTCTGACATAACTAGAATTATCCTGTGTATTAATTTAAAAAATGTGCAGTTCAATCTTATGTCATGATAATGTCATCGTTGAAATGTCTGTTATTGCTATTGTGGCATCACAGACCTGTTTGTACTTACTTTTGCACAGCAAAAATAAACAATATATATATATATATACATATATATATATATATATATATATATGTATATATATATATATATTCTCTGGAAAACAAACACATTATTTCTAAATACGCCTTACCAGTGACCTAGCATGGGCAGAACCACTGGGGCAAAATGTTTAGGGGAGCAAAATTTCAAAAGAAAAAAAGGTGATTTTTTTTTTTTTGATACCTTGCATCCCAAATAATTTTTCAGCACCGGGGCCCACTTGCTGAGGGGGCCCATCATTTGGCCCAAGCACATGCACCTGATGGACATGTATCTTCAGGGGCCCTGTTGTGCAGCCCTTAAT